AAACATTTTTCGGTAATAGCCATGTAGAGCACGATCCACATTAATAGGACGAACTCGCCACCTTCTATTTGATTTCTCATGCTGTACAAGCGCAATATGTTTAGAAACAAATTACAAGCTTGCACAGTCAATTCATTTTGATTATACATATTTGTTAATAATTTACTTAAACTATTGTTAATTATTTCACTTTCAACAAAAATAACACAGAATTTCACTACACTTGCGGACACTCAACTACCGACTGAAACTTTTGAAATTATTTCATTTGCATGTTCCAATCTAAACAAAGTCAGCTGCTTACTTACCGTCTAACACCGCTTTAACTTAAAGCGAAATTTTCATTTCGTTTCTTCTTAACATCTTACGTTAACTACCGTCTAACTGAACCTTTAGTTTGCTATTAAAATATTTTTACCACCCAATAGTTATGTAGAAGCAGTTATATATATATATATGCGTATAAATTTTTATTATTTTAAATATCAAACATTAATTTATAAATTTTCTTTTCATATTATTTTTTTATTATTAATATAGAAAAAAAATATAAGTACAACAGTACCATTAATGGGTGACATGCGTTAAGATTCTTTATTTGGGTTTTAATATTATTATAACTGCATTTAGATGCATAATTGTAATTCGCCTTCTCCAGCCAATATTGTCTGTGAAGACTCAGTAAAAGTGCAAGAACCTACATGTAGAGTGCATGTAACCTACTCAGTCACTCACTCACAACTAATAATACGTACACTCAACCGCGTACGTATAGCATTAAACCACAAAAAAAAGTTCGAGAGCAAAAACAACCAATAAAACTAAATAAAAACCAAATGGAATTTGTTAAAGACAAAACTCAGCAAAACGACGTCCCTCAGTTGAAAACGACTGAAAACAAAAAAAAATAACATTAACAATGTCACAGTAACTAATATGAAAATACTGCATGCTTGCATTTGCATACAGCCACTGTTCATTGCTCATGTTACGTCGCTTAACAAAATATGCACCTTCGACTCCTGACGTTTCCTTTTTAAACAATTAATAAATATATTTTTATTTTAAAATTTTAAACAAAACATAAGCTAACATAATTAGTTCTTATGTAAAATTTTATATTAAAAATTTAATGAGAAATATAAAAACAAAAATTCAAATAATTGTTCAAAATAAAAAAAAATTAAAAATCATAATGAAAACACAGACCATGTGTATGTTATGTGTAAATTATATATGCAAACATATACCTACACATAAACAAGAGAAGTACAAAAGCATATATCAGGACTTGAGAGTATATACAATTTATATGCATTTATATGCATTTCCAGAAAAAAAAACCCTCTTCCAAATGCGATAATTTGTACATCAAGCGAAAACAGTAACTTTAAAACGTCTATTTTTATTAAAACGTTGGATATTTATTAATCAACAAAATATATAAAAAAACGAAATATAATAAATAATGTTTCCCACAACTTTACATCAGCAATTTAAATGATTGTTTGATATATTTATATATTCATTATTATGTTAAAATAAACATTATAAAATTTAAACAAACCGAATTACTTAATAAAAAACAGTATTTGAAACAAAACAAAAAGGAGAAACCGGTAAGGTATAAGTCACACAAAAAAAATTTTCTTTTTATATTCTTTTTTTTCTTTCACAAAACACTTACCAGTGTCCTACCGGCTGCGCCAATCTGTTGTCATCCCTCAGTGGAAGCAATGAAACACATGATGTCAGGGGATAATTAATCTTTATTTTATCCTTTTTATCAATAACCAAACGCAGCCACTGCCTTCGCTGTTGTATGGACTCTTGTCGGTACTACGTTGGTTGTCAATTGATGTTCCAGCAACTTGCCTCCAAATGAATATAATTGCTGTGTCCAAAATTACAATGCTCGGATTCGTCGAGTGGATTTCGGACATTTGTTGTTAACCCAATTTAAGTAGCACAATTTGAGTGATCCGATTTCCACTATTGAAACTTGATTGACTTTGTCGTTTCTGACTTAGTAAATTGTATTCAAACTACTGTATTTATTTTTTTTTACACTTTGTACTCGTGTACTTTTCTTTTATACATCCACACGGTATTGTGGTTGATGCCAACATGCATCTCCAACATTTATTTCACGACTCTCTCTTACTTACTTCTTTTTACTCTGTGTAAGCTTCAGAAGTTCAATTTTTCTGCTGGACACGTTTCGCCGTATCAGCGCATTTCACGATCACGTTGTAAGATCGTTGACTGCAGCAATAGTTCGCTGTTACATTTTTGTAACACGATACTCGATGATAAAGCCAATTTTATTTATTCTTTTATGCTTGGCCAAACCGGTTTTAGCACACCCTTCTTCAAAGGAACGTTGTGTTGCCAGTAAGCAGCATGTTGACAATTGGCGGTGACGAAGTGTTGATGTTGACGCTCTTCAAAGGTACGCTGTATTGGTAGTAAACAGCATGTTGGCGGTGAAGGTAGCAGCGTAACAGTTGGTGGCGAAGGTTGGCAGCGTATATAATTATAATTAAACTTAACCTTAAAAATCATTACAAATATTGCAATTTCTCTAAAATTAAAATTTTTCATTCTATTAAAATTATGTAAATTTAATCTAATTGTATATTAAAATTATTACAATAAAAACTAATTCCAAAACCATGTTTTGTCAATCTTTAAAATTTCTTTATATTGCACATATTGTGTTTTATATTTTTTTTTTGTTTTTTATTACAATTTCTCATTTTACAGTAGTCTTAAAACATTATACATATTTTCATTATTTTCATTATACTACTTTATTGAACATGGGTAGTTGTTAGCTTTTTTTTTTTGTTTTTTTTTTGAATATGATTATTTTATTGCATATTCTATGTAAATTTCATATAATATTATATGTAAATTTCATATAATATTTTTTTATAACTAGATTTAACATACATATATACATATATATATATAAATAATAATGTGTTTGACTTTTTCAAATATTACATTAATTGGCATTATTTTCATATGCACATATATTTTGCATATTATTTTTTTTTTCTTTCAGATTTAATATTCTATATAATTTTAACATGATTGTTTAATTGCATATTCTTCGTCAATTTCATATAATATTATATAGTTATTTTTATCGCTACTGGTTATCGTTTACAAACAATTTTGATTGGGATACTTGGATCCCATACTACACATTTTCATATAATATTACACCTCATTGTGTAACAAATTATTCACCTTTCGAATTAGTATATGGTAGAGCCGCGAATCTTCCAAACGAGATAATAATAGGTAGAAAATTTTATAATTATGATTCTTACGTTGCTGAGTTAAAAACAAAACTACAGTATGCACATAAAGCAGTAAATGAGATATTAATAAAAGAAAAATGTTCTCAAAAAATTAAGCAAGATGCTAATGCATCAGAAAATCTATTCAATGTAGGAGATTTAGTTTATTTAAGAGTAGAAAATAGAAGGAAACATGAGAATCCATATCATGGTCCATTAAAGATAGTTGATAGAAACGGTGTAAATTCCACTATAGAAATTAATGATAAAATAAAGATAGTTCATAAGAATAGATTAAAGAAAATTTCACAAACAATGTTATCATTATAAGAAAATAAAAATTATTTTACAATAAATTTATTGCATTTATTTGTAAAATTATTTTTAAGAAGTAAAAATTGTCAATGTCAAGTTTCCAAAATTCAAATTATCATAAAAAATTTTCTTTATTGTATAAATAAATTTTTTTTTTTAAAGGGTAGAGGTGTTGTGTATAGCGCAACAAATGTAAACAAAAACAAACAAGAAATTATGTTATATATTTTTGAAAGTGCTTATGCACAAATTATTTTATATTAACCAATGTAATATGAATGCGATCGCACACGGAAGAACCACCGCAATGCAAGTAGAATATTTGGTCATAGCAAGTATGCAATTGCTATTTGACACTTTTCTTTTCTGTGCTACTATTCTGCACATGTCGATATGACACACTTCAATATGTCATAATATTTTCTAAGCATAGACGTGGGTCAACCTTTTTAGTGCCGCCGCAATAAAAATTATTAAGAAAAATATTTGTAAATTATTGTAAAATATTTTGTATAAATAGTTTGGAAAATTGTTAATAAAATTCAGATTTGAAACTGAGCTCGAACAGCTTAAACCAAATTCTCACTTTTATTTTCTTGTCTCGGCATTCTCGGATGCCTACTAATGTGCAGATTTCTTCCTGCTAATTCAATTAGAAGAAACTAATAAAGTCGAAAGAAAAATCTAATAAAAATAAAAACAAATATAATAAATTTGTGTATCAAAACAAATTTATTATTACATTTGTTTATTGTGTCTAAAATGGCCCTGTTCCACAATTCGTCTCTTCCTACCAGTCCATCTGCGGAAATATCTGTTTCACTCGGGACGACGTGCATTAGAAATTGTATATGAGGCATACTCTTATGCTTTATTCTGACTTTGGCCAGTGTGTCTG